AAAATGTTCAACTCCATGTTTATTATATAAAGTAAATGGAAAGTGTTAAATGTTTAATGTGATGATTAAGTAAATTATAGTCCATGACATTAATGTAGTTTTTAGAAATTAAAATGTGGGCATGTATGAGTAATTATTCAAGTATTTTTAGTCATTTGCTCATTGAAATCTCACTACAAGGGTACTGGATATCTTCTCTTGGCCTTTGAGGTGTACTCACCACTTTTCCCTAGCCTATTATGTCCCTTGAAGGCTGACTTGTATGAACTGCATCAACAGGTTTCTTTGCCTTCTAGCTTCTGGTTGTCTTAGGTCAATGGAGAGAACCAGCAGGAGATTGTTGGAGGGTGAGAAGTAGGGGGTTTATGTGTCCTGGATAACTCTCTCTGGGCTTCCTGTGGGCTGACTGCCTTTCAGAATTGAAGGTCACAACTGGTATCAGGCAACCCTTTCCAAACACCTCTTTCACCAGGTTCAGATTACTGCTGTCTACTCCTACCCCTTTATAGTGATGTCACCAGGCTGGAGGTACTGTGCAATTCCTTGTGGGTTTTCTCCATCTTCCCATATATTTTTATTTTTTAAATAAGTTCATCTGTACTACTTTTTTTGGGCTGCACTGCGAGGCATCAGTCAATCAGTTCAATTGCTCAGACATGCCTGACTCTTTGTGACCCCATGAACTGCAGCACACCAGGCTTTCCTGTCCACCATCAACTCCCAGAGCTTGCTCAAACTCATGTCCATTGAGTTGGTGATGCTATTCAACCATCTCATCCTCTGTTGTCCCCTTCTCCTGCCTTCAATCTTTCCCAGTATCGGGGTCTTTTCCAATGAGTCAGTTCTTCACATCAGGTGGCCAAAGTATTGGAGCTTCAGCTTCAGCATAAGTCTTTCCAAAGAATATTCAGGACTGATTTCCTTTAGGATCAGCCAGTTTGATCTCCTTGCAGTCCAAGGGACTCTCAAGAGTCTTCTCCCAAACCACAGTTCAAAAGCATCAATTCTTTGGCTCTCAGCTTTCTTTATAGTCCAACTTTCATACCCATACATCAATACTGGAAAAACCATGGCCTTGACTAGATGGACCTTTGTCAGCAAAGTAAGGTCTCTGCTTTTTAATACGCTGTCTAGGTTGGTCAAAGGTTTTCTTCCAAGGAGCAATCATCTTTTAATTTCATGGCTGCAGTCACTATCTGCAGTGATTTTCGAGCCCAAAATATAATGTCTATCACTGTTTTCATTGTTTTCCCATTTATTTGCCATGAAGTGATGGGACCAGATGCCATGATCTTAGTTTTTCGAGTGTTGAGTTTTAAGCCAGCTTTTTCACTCTTCTCTTTCACTTTCATCAAGAGGCTCTTTAGTTCTTCTTCACTTTCTGCCATAAGGGTGGTGTCATCTGCATATCTGAGGTTATTGATATTTCTCCTGGCACTCTTGATTCCAGCTTGTGCTTCATCCAGCCCGGCATTTCACATGATGTACTCTGCAGATGAGTTAAATAAGCAGGGTGACAATATACAGCCTTGACATACTCCTTTTCCAATTTGGAACCAGTCTGTTGTTCTACTTCCAGTTATAACTGTTGCTTTTTGACCTGTGTACAGATTTCTCAGGAGGCAGGTAAGGTGATCTGGTATTCCCATCTCTTTAAGAATTTTCCACAGTTTGTTGTGATCTACACAGTCAGAGGCTTTAGCCTAGTCAATGAAGCAGAATTAGATGTTTTTCTGGAATTCTCTAGTTTTTCTATGATCCAGAGGGTGTTGGCAACTTGATCCCTGGTTCCTCTGCCTTTTCTAAAACCAGCTGGAACATCTGGAAGTTCTCAGTTCACATACTGTTGAATCCTAGCTTGAAGGATTTTGGGCATTACTTTGCTAGAATGTGAAATGAGTGCAATTGTGTGGTAGTTTGAACATTCTTTGGCATTGCCTTTCTTTGGGACTGGAATGAAAACTGATCTTTTCCAGTCCTGTGATCACTGCTGAGTTTTCCAAATTTCCTGGCATATTGAGTGCAGCACTTTCACAGAATCATTTTTTAGGATTTGAAATAGCTCAACTGGAATTCCATCATCTCCACTAGCTTTTGTTCATAGCAATGCTTCCTAAGGCCCACTTGACTTCACATTCCAGGATGTCTGGCCCTAGGTGAGTGATCACACCATTGTGGTTATCTGGGTCATGAAGATCTTTTTTTTATAGTTCTTCTGTATATTCTTGCCGACTCTTAATATTTTTTTCTATTAGGTCCATACCTTTTCTCTTTTATTGTGCCCATCTTTGCATGAAATGTCCCCTTGGTATCTCTAATTTTCTTTAAGAGATCTCTAGTCTTTGCCTTTTTATTGTTTTCCTCTTTTTCTTTGCATCAATCACTGACAAAGCCTTTCTTATCTCTCCTTGCTATTCTTTGGAACTCTGCATTCAAATGGGTATAGCTTTTCCCACTGTGGGATGTGGAATCTTAATTCCCCAACCAGGGATTGAACCCTCCCCCCCACACACACACATTAGAAGTCAGAGTCTTAATCACTGGACTACCAGAGAAGTCCCTTTCCATATCTTTTAAAATATTTCCTTTGTGATACTCTCTCCAAATGAGGTTTCCCATTTTATGCTGGAACCTTAACAGATACAACTTAAGAGATACTATGGCTGAGATAGGCAGAGGGAAGTTAAGTAATTTGCCCAAGGTTCCAAAGGGAGGAAATGATACTTGTAGGCTATGTCACAATTATTTATGTATCTATCTTAAACTAACTTGCATTTTATATTAGAAAAGATAAGCATAATATTCAGTACAAATAAGCAAAATGAAGAGAGAAAATACATTTCTGCCCATCTATTCCATCCATTATATATTTAATAAGATTCCCACATTTTTATCTCCAGTCAAATTCCTACATTGAGCCTCAGGCTATATATTCAATTTCTTATCATATATGCTTCATTTGGATGTCTCAAAGGCACTTGAAACTCAATATGTCCAAAAACAAGTTATTTCGTGATCTTCCAAATCCTATCCACAACCAAGTACTGTCATTTTTACATGTAAATGTCTCTAGTATGTCCATATCTCTCCAGCTCCACTGCCACCACCCACCTTAGTCCAAGACACCACCATCTCTTTCTTCGGAGAGCTCCAAATGTTGGTCTCCCTGTATTTATCCATCTACTCTTGTCCACTTCAATCTATTATTCACATGGCAGACAGAGAGACCTTTTCAAAATTCCATCCAGTCATAGTGCCCCTTGCTTAAAACCAAGAAGCTCCTTCCACTGGTTTAGAATACAGACCAAGGATCTTATTTTGGCCCAGCTGATCTCAGCAGCTTTGCCTCCTGTGCTTCTCTACTTGCCATAGCTCCATGGGTTGGCTTTCAACTGTTCCAATGAGCTATGCTTCTTTCTACTATGGGGCCTCCTTGTTCTCTCTTTCTGGAACATTTTTACATACACCCTCCCTGGCAATGTTAACTTCCAGAATGGTCTAGACACTCTTACACTTTATTGCTATGGACCTTTCCAAATTAATATTTATCAGAGTTTGAATTGACACACCAACCATGTGGTTTATTTCCTCCACAGCTCCTCTAGTAAGCTGTATAGCAATGAAGGTCTCCAACTGTCTTGTGTCACCTGTGTATCCCAAGTACCTTGTCCCATGCCTAGCTCATAGTATGAAATCAAATATTTGAATGAAAATAATGCAGTGGGAATAATGAGAAAGTTGGACAGAATCATATTAGAAAGTGCTGAATTCTTTATTATTTCCTGTTTCTTTGCTTCCAAGTCTAAAAATGATACCAATTTAGTCATGTTTCAACTCCTTTACTAGAAAGTAAAAACTATTAAAACTGGATAAAGAAAAAAATTAAATTTGTATTTTAGTTTCCTCAAGAAGATACTGTTTGATATGAATGGAGGTATCAGGGTAGGCGGGCATGCAAGAGAAATGTTTGTAAGTGCCAATAGATTTTCATTAATTTCTTACAGTTCTCAACATTTACTCTGAATTCACGTCAAAATTACATCTTTTTGAGGGCTCTAGTGATGACAAATCCAGCTCTAGGAGGATAAGATGGAAATTAAGGGATAAAACTAGCAAAACAAGAGACTGATTGCACAATAAAACATATGCACTTAATATTCCTTCCAGTTGAAAGGGAAATAAGCTTTCTTTTTTAAAATTTGTTTCTGCACTTTAGTCATTCATTGACCTTCACTTTTAAACTGTATGTCCCACTTAATCTGTGATTTTGAGTTCTTAACTTTTTCGCCTACTTGCTTCGAGTTTGTTTAAGAACTTCAGCTTGAAAAACCATATAGACCACCAATAACTGCCAAATCTTCCCCTAGGGACACCTCTCACTGCGCCCCGCCCCCTCTCGAGGGAGGGACCGCGACTGCGCAGACCTCCCTGTGATGTCACGAAAGAGCCAAACCAGGTGGCGGGGAGTTGGGGGGGGGGGCAGCCCTGCTATCGGCCTTTCAGGTCCGCTTTCTTCCCTAAGACCACCCCACTACCCCCGCCCAGTCCTCCCCTTTTAGTTAAATCGTTAAGAATAAAAGCACCAGGTTGAATCTCCACGTGGCCACGCCCATACTCTCGTCAGGCCACACCCCCTACTTGGGTGGCGTCCCCCAGGCACCAACGGCAGGAGGGCTCCCGCTCGCGGCGAGTACAGGCGGGGAAGGCGGAGCCAGGCCTCTCCAGCGCCTAGTCTTTCAGCCCCATAGCGGGCCTGGCTCCCCGGGCTGGGCTCTAAGAGTGCCGATCCCGGCCAGCTTGGGCGGGAGAGGCGCGCGCCCCTGAGTGAGGGGTGAGGGAGAGTAGAACATCGCCCCCAGTCCCGCTCCCCCTCCCCCGCCCCGCGCTCCAGATCAATGAGCGCACCCAACTCGGCTGCCCCCTTCAGCAGCGGCCGCCGCGGCGGGAATGGGCGCGAGTTACAACGCTCGCCGGGAGTCGGAAACCTCCCGGCCCAGGTTCTGGAGGCCGCCAACATCGCGGGCGTAGCCTCGTCCTCCTCGTCCTGGAACACCAGTTCAGAGTGGTTGACCTCCCACCAGCATTCCAGCTGCCTGTCGAACACGTCCACTGCAGCGGACGCCAGATACACCCGAGGCTGCAGCGCGCCCTCCCAACTCATCCCGGGTTTTGGCTTAAGAACTGACACAGGTCTCAGGGTTGGCATCCGGGGCTTTGGCGCCCGCGGCCTGAACGACAGGGTCAGTATGTCTGCCCTCCGCCCGACCACCACAGACGAGGCCGCCTCGACCTCTAACCTGGGCCCCAGCAACCCCCGGGTATCCGTACAAGGATCTGTCCCGCCCTCAAGGTCTCCCCGATTGCCCCTACAGAACACCTTGCACTCAGCACCGGGCTCCACCCAGATATCAATAGGAGAAACTCCTAGACCCACTAACACCTTCAGAGGGTCGGTGCAGGGATCCATCTCTCCCGTGACGCCCGCCTTTATCAAAATATCGGCACCAGCACCTCCACCACCCAGTAACACTCCCCGAGTGTCACTACTTGGATTAACCTCGCCCTCAGTATCCGGTTCCACCTTGGGTTCGGTGCAAGGACCACCTACACCCAATAACAACCCCCTACTATCAGGACAAGAGTCCAACCGTGTCTCCATGCCCGACTCCCAGCAGTTAGCTGCAAAAAGATCTGCACCGCTCTCAGCCTCGTCCCGAGAGTCGGTACAAGGGTCTGCCCCGCCCTTGGTGGTCAGCTTTCCTGAGAGTTTGGTGCGAGGATCTATCGCGATTTCGGACTCCTCCCGAGTGTCGATTCGAGGGTCCCCCCCGCCCTCAGATCTTAGCACCCCTCAGAGTTCGATACCAGGACCTCTTACTCCCATGAACTCTCAAGTGTCCACACAAGAGTCCGCTCAGCTCTCAGAGCAAAGTTACCCCCAAAGATTAGTGGAAGGATCGGCTCCACCCCCGGATTCCCCCGGGATACCAGTACCAGGGGTCGCTCCGCCCTTGGAGCCCGGCTCCGCCCAGGAATCGGTGGAGGAATCGGCTCCGCCTTCGGGCTCCCCCCGAGACTCGGTAGAAAAGTCCGCTCCGCCCTCGGCCAGACCCACTCCTGTACCCACGCCCCGGGAGAGCCGCAACCAGAGCATGGAGAGTCTGCAGAAGACGAGTGACGCGGGCCAGATGTTCGACGTAGTCGTGATAGGAGGCGGCATTTCAGGTCAGTCTGGACCGTAGCACTAGCCTGAGGGACCCTGGCCGGCCCAGTGTGGGGGACTTGCCGTCTGAAAGTGGCGTTTGGGATGGGTGGGGGGGGTGGGTCTCCCTTGTGCATGCGAGACGGCTACAGATGCCAGGCCCCCGATCCTGAGAGGAGGGAATGGGATTGAGCCGGTGGTGTGACCTGGGGGAGGCAGGCACAATGATTTTTACTACTACTACGAAATACTAATATTTAATTAGCTCTTGCCGTGCAGTTGCATTTAGCATTTTACGTGGATTTTCTCAGTCCTCAGCGGTCCTGTGAGGTGGGTACTCTATTCGTCCCTATTTTACAAAACCTAGAAACGGAGGTAACTCTGAGAAGTCACGTCACCCAGCTGGGAAAGTGACAATGGTTTTCTCTCACGTGAGACCCTTACTCCTAATTCTGGCGGTGGTTGTTCTGCCTTGCTGATTTCACGCCCTTTGCCCCAAACAGAACATCAGTTTATGGATTTTTGTAGTATATCAAAGTAGTAATAGTGTTGTTCCAGTCCTGCTAGTCTCCAAGTGCTTTTCCTTAGAAAATCTGGTAACTGGAGAGGAAGGAGGAAGAATCTTTTAGGAAAAGGTTTCTTTCTTTTTAAAAAAAAAAAAAAGGTGGGGGCAGGGGGAGAGACATGGGCTCTTAGTTTTAATCTACTCCACCCCCCCCCTTTTTTAGAACTCGCAGAAAGTGTAGGGCATTTATTGCTCAAAGGGAATCCCTCTGTGAAGCAGGGGCTGTGGGCAGGTAAGGGAATACCCTGTTTGTGTCTTTCTCCACCGCCTGAATCTTGCCCTGTTATGAGGCAGCTGGCAAGCCTGTGTTCCTCTAGTCCCGGTTTGGGTTTGTAGCTGACCAACTGAGTGGTGTTGGAAGTTTCCTCGGATCTTCCTGGAAACCTCATCATGACTGAAACATTAAATTGTCACTTATGATGTCATATTTGGTAAAATGTTTGAAATTTAAGAATTGTGTTTCACATCTAGATAGAGTCCCACACTAGCTTGTCCACGACCTGGGAGGGTGTTAATCATTTCTGAAATATACCTGCAGGATCTAATTTAGAAGAAGGGAGAAATGAGGTGGGAGGGAGTAAGTGAGGTGCCTCCAAGTAGCCATTTTTATGTATAATCCTTTGAGGAGACTCTGAACATGCTTACAGATGAATTTTGCTTGGAGATAGCTTTTGACTTGGCCTGTTTCGGGTAACATTTTTAACCACCAGGGAAGAAACTGACTTGAGCTATTGCTCTGACAACTCCAGTCAGGGCCAGCAAAAACACATGTATGTCAGAGCATTAGGAAAGCAGATCTTGGTTGAGAGTATGAAAAAGTATTTCTCTTGTTCCGCTTCATTCATTTATTAGCTTCTTTATTCATTCATCAAACACTTGTTGAGTGTCTGCAATGAAGTGGACTGGTGTTTCTAAAAGCCTGATTCTTGTATGCAAGCCTCCTAGATAAGCAATGTGATTGTTCATCACTGGATAATAAAGATGATGATAATGTGTTGTGTAAATTGACTAGTAGTTTCGTCTCCGTTCCCCATCTCCATATCATTCATATTTCACAGTTTAGGGTTCTTACTGTGATTTTATGCCTGTCTTCTTCTTCTTCTAGTATCCCTTAGGGAGCATTTTGTCTTTTACTTTTTCTCTGCCTGATGACTGGCTCTTCTCCCTTTCCACACTTTACTCGAAGTAGTTGGTCATGAACAGAATTGGATTTACCGTGTAGCTGATGTAAGGTTCTATAGCCTTAAAACTGCAGGTCCCTTCTGGTTCTCATCCTAAAAAAAAATAACCAGTTTCATACTGAATCTTGTATTTGTAATTTTGTATTCTTTTTTTTTCTTGAAGAGGCAACCAAATCATGTAAGCTTTAGGCTTCTCAAAATCTGGATCTTTCCATGGTCACTAAGAATTATTACTTTGTTCATTTCTACATGCGGGAAGAAGAGAGTATTTCTTGCACGGTAGTTCACACTCCTATTCCAGAACCCAACTTCCACTTCATCAGTGACAGTGGAAAAGGCACTGGGATTCCTTTAATATCATCTCTTATCAGTCAGATTTGATTTTAACACCAAAATTGACCAAAAACATTGCTTTCTGGCTGTGGTGTCTTGCCAGATGCTTCACAACTAAAATGAAAGTAGATGTAAGTCTAGCTCAGGATAAACCCTGCACATAGACGGGGTGTTTCCCAAGCAGGTGAGAGAGGTTACTTTGCAATGGTTCTTGAGCTCTGAAACACATCATCTTTGTGTGTTCTTAGGAGTATCCCATGAGTTACTTAATAGTCCCCATATCAGTTTTAAATGCTTTTGGATATTTCTTAAAACTCTAGTCAGAACTGGCACATTTTAATGTGCCACATATATACATACTTATAATATATGGCCAATACTTTGCATCTGCTGTGTTATTCCTGTTATATAACAAAATAGCTCCACAAAGCATACAAATCCTAAATTCCTCAAAAGCAATCCATATGCACGGAATTATCTTTCATTTTTTGTAACTATCTCTGCACAAAGAACAGCAACATCTTAAGGTATCTCCCTTTTGTCATTAAAAATCATAGAACAGAGCATGTCTTACAACCACAAGATCCCATTTTCCTCCCACTCACCAGTTAAATTTTATGTATTTAATTGAGAAGGGCAACCCTTCCTACTCATTTGTAAGTAGTGTTATGGTATCTTCAATATGCTCTGACCCTTCATCCATCATCTGTCATCCATCACCAAGTCCTTTCTGGAACTTCTTTCATGCTTTTTGTAACATCATCAGATCCTGAATTTTTATCCTACACTGATTGCTCCTTTTCTAGTCCTTTCATTGGGCCCATATTCTTGCAACCTTCTGGTTTTGAAATGGCCTCAAGGTTCAGTTATTCATCACTTTGGGGCTCATATGCACTCTCCCCCTCTCTTTTTCATTCTAGGACCTCACCTTTCACTTTATCTACACAAAGCTCTTAAGTCTCTAGTTTGAATCTTTTGCTTTGTCCCAACTCCTGTCCCATAGCTTATCTGCTCTTGGATATTTATATTTCAGAGTTGACTGTCTTATTCTTACTTCATGTTCAACATGTTCCAAAGCCTCCTTGTCGTCCAACCCAGCTTCTCTTACTCACTTCCTCAACTCTGTTCTTGGCACCACTATCCTTTCCATCATTTGGGGCATTCCTTCTGTTTTATCTTCTGTGGCCAGTCAACAGATCCTTCTAACTCCTCCTTGGAGCTCTTTCATCTCTTGTATGTCCGCCATTCCCAGGAAGGACCCTTAACCCCTTTGACTAACCAGGTAACCATCTTCCTAATGACCACCCTTTGGGGTCTCCCTTCATGTCCATCCCAGACTTGATTTTTTTTAAAATACTTCTTTCATCAGCTTGTTCTGTTCAAGACATTCAGTGGTCTATTGCCAGCCTCTCAAGCTCCCCTCCCCACCCCACACAAGTATCTAGTCCCACCTTGTTGGACAAGTAGCATTCCCACCATCCCTAACATGGCTTTAGTCACACTGCTGTCTTGTCTTTAATGCTACACCATGTTTATTTTGTTCCTCTGGTCCTTCCCTGTTTTTGTTTTTCTTAACACAGAAGTGCTTCTCTGCTTCTCTCTGAACATTTGCATCCTATCCATTCTTCAATACCCGCTTAAAGCCCTTTTGCTTGATCCTTTTGCCTCTCCTTGACTTTTCTCTCTTGTGGAGCTTGTAATCTATATCTGACCATTTGAACTTATTTTATGTCCTATGTCTTGATGTTATTTTAAGGATAGCAGTTGAGTCACTGACTTTACATGCTAGTTCTTACTCACGAACCAATGCAGATAAAGCAAATGACAGAAACCCAGTGGTGTAAGATTTTAAAATCTGCCCCTGGGGATTTCTGAATTAGCTCTCTTTAGGAAGAGAGAATAAAAGGGAAAGAGAGGGGAAAAAAAATCCCACCTCCAGGGGACAGTGAATACTTCAGAGTCTTTGGGCCAAAGGAGTTTTTGAAAGACAGTCTAGTCCAGTCCCCTAAGATTTTAATCATCTCCGCAGCATCTCCTGGCTATAGCTTTGAACAAACACATCTAGGGAAAGAGAACGCTATACCCCTGAAAGCAGCTCGTTATGAGCAGGGGTGGCTCTGGGGCCTGGAAACTCGTTCAAGCATTTTGGGAGCTGCTACCATATGCCTACCAGATCACGGAGCTAGAGGTAGATAAAGAGGCGTAACAAGTGTCCCAGCTTACACAGTGCCCCACCCTCTTGTGAACAGTAACCAAGTGAGAAAATAATTGACATTCATACAATGAGAGAAATATTAATATTATGAATCTGAACAAAATGCCAGGACCTTGAGAGATAAGTAGGATTTTTAACAGGTAGAGATAAGAGGATAGAAAAAAGACATATCAGAGAGTCCAAAGGAGTACAGATACAGAGTCGGGAAGCCCTAAGCCACATATGAGCATTGTTTAATTTAAACCTATGACACGAGTTCCAGGCAAGGAAAACAGTTGCCTGCTGTGCCTCTAGTGATGTGATCCTGGTAGTCACTGAGGTCACCCTGGTGTGTCACATCTGCCCCCATGGTTAGCCAGGACACAGTGAAAGCACTTTCATCATAACACTGGATAGTCCTGGGTGATTAAAGTCTTTCCATGTTTTTTTTTTTTAGATTAAATTTCAAGTGTCTTGTAGAGAGAGGTATTTCTAAATAGTGACTAAGCAACAGAACCTCCCTGTACCTCCACAAGCTGAGCTCCACTAAAAGACTTGAGAGCACTAGCCACTCAGAACGTTGTGCTGTGTAAGAGCAGCAAGGATGGAATCTTTCTTATCAGTGGAGACAGAAAAGTCATTTCGCAAGAAGACTGACTAATGTTCTGAATCCTGTCAGCGAGTCCACAACATACCACAGTTTCCCTTTTTGTTGAACTACACCACCATGAAGAATCATTTCTGCTAGCA